ACGGACTGGAAGTCCTCGGGGGACCTCATCCCGGCCATCTACCTGCTGGTCTTCCTCCTGGGCACCACGGGCAACGGCCTGGTGCTCTGGACCGTGTTCCGGAGCAGCCGGGAGAAGAGGCGCTCCGCTGACATCTTCATCTCCAGCCTGGCCGTGGCCGACCTGACGTTCGTGGTGACCCTGCCGCTGTGGGCCACCTACACCTACCGGGACTACGACTGGCCCTTCGGCACCTTTGCCTGTAAGCTCAGCAGCTATGTCATCTTCGTCAACATGTACGCCAGCGTCTTCTGCCTCACCGGCCTCAGCTTCGACCGCTACCTGGCCATCGTGAGGCCGGTGGCCAACGCCCGGCTGCGGCTGCGGGTCAGCGGGGCCGCGGCCACGGCGGCGCTCTGGGTGCTGGCCGCGCTCCTGGCCATGCCGGCCATGGTGTTGCGCGCCACGGCCGAGGTGCCTTCCGGCCTGGACAATGTCACGAAGGTGCAGTGCTACATGGACTACTCCATGGTGGCCACCCTCAGCTCGGAGTGGGCCTGGGAGCTGGGCCTGGGGGTCACGTCCACGGCGCTGGGCTTCGTGGTGCCCTTCACCATCATGCTGACCTGCTACTTCTTCATCGCGCAGACCATCGCGGGCCACTTCCGCAAGGAGCGCATCGAGGGCCTGCGCAAGCGGCGCCGGCTGCTGAGCATCATCGTGGTGCTGGTGGTGACCTTCGCGCTCTGCTGGATGCCCTACCACCTGGTGAAGACGCTCTACACGCTGGGCAACCTGCTGCACTGGCCCTGCGGCTTCGACCTCTTCCTCATGAACGTCTTCCCCTACTGCACCTGCATCAGCTACGTCAACAGCTGCCTCAACCCCTTCCTCTACGCCTTCTTCGACCCCCGCTTCCGCCAGGCCTGCACCTCCATGCTCTGCTGCGGCCACAGCAGGTGTGGGGGCGCCTCCCACAGCAGCAGTGGGGAGAAGTCGGCCAGCTACTCCTCCGGGCACAGCCAGGGGCTTGGCCCCAACACCGGGAAGGGCGGAGAGCAGACCCAGGAGAAATCCATCCCCTATAGCCAAGAGACCCTTGTGGTTGACTAGGGCTGGGACCCCAGAGAAGCCTGGTGCCCTCTGCACGCCCCAGCCCTCGCCCCTGCTCTCTGAAAGTCAGGTAGCTCGAGGGCACTTTTGCTCTTGCACTGGACGCCATCCTGGCTCCCTGCCTCCCGCCTTCCTCTTGCACGCCTTTCTCCTTTAGTTTTTGGTCAGAGGTTGCAGTGCGATGGAAGGAGACTGAGCCCTGCAGACCTGAGCTTGGCCACTCAGCATCTGTGAGACTGACTTTGCACAAGTCTCTTAACTTCTCCGAGCCTCGGTTTCTCCATTTGTGTATGTGTAATGGGGGAAGTCATATGGGCGCTGAAATGGTGGGTGTGTCTGGCTCAGTAAAAGTTGGTGTCTTCGCCGCCCCCCCCCCCCCCGCCCCATCTTTCATTCTGGGATCTCAGCTCTTCTTTCTCCTTCCTTTCTGTTTAGTTTTCGCTACCCTCTCCCTCCCTTTGTTTTCCCCTCTATCTCTGTATAGTTTTTTACCCTCTGAATCTTTAGCTTTGGCTCCCGCCCCTCTCCCATAGCTCATTCCTCCCCTCAATCCATTCTTCTTCTTCTTTTTACCTCCTTGTTGTGAGGGGCTCCTAAGGGTTAAGAATCCTGAAGCTTGTAAACACTCTTTATCCTGTTCTCTGAGAAAGCCAAGGGAATGGGCTGGGGTGGGGTCGGGCTAGGTGTCAGGGACAAGTTAGCACTAGCACTCCAGTCTGCAGGAGCTCAAAAACTTTCCCCCAAATCGGATCAGAGTGCTGTGATTTCAGGCACCTCTGGGGGCTCCCTTCCTGCAGCCCGTCCGTGATGCCAACCAGACCAGCTTTCTGCAGTTTTCCTGGGACGCTGTCATTCATCCTCTCATCTCTGCGGGAACTGAAGGGCAGTGGGTTCACAAGCAACGGGCTCCTTGGATTCCTCCTGTGAATGGGGGGTTGGGAAGGGACAGGGAGAAAAAGGAGAGTCAGCATTTGGTCTATATGTGAATTGGCTTCTCTCTCACAATCTTGCCCCCCCCCCCAACCTCCTTCAGAGCTGAGCTTACCCCACCCCACTCATCACCCCAGGATGTGTTTCTTGGGCACTGGTGCTACTCCGTGCCAAGAGTCAACTTTGGATGTGGTGGAGATGCTTGCCTTGTGTGTGTATATGTATATATATGTAAGCCTGGGTGAACATAGCATGACAGCAGTGTGCCTGTGTCACTTTCACTTGGATGAACCCGTCTCTATTCTTCACACAGTATGTTTGAGAGAAGAAGGGGCATATTGAGGCAATATAGAATAAAAGGGAGCCCACCCCCACTGGATTTGGGGGCTCTGACGGCTGGTCCGTGCTTTAAGAGAGAAGCCTGTGTTTGTGTTTGCTCTTGGCTTCCTGTAGGGACATCTCTCCCCAGAGCTGCTGACACTGAGGCTTGGGGACGAACTATGGTCCCATGTGCTGGGTCCCCAGACCTTCCCTAGTTCCATGAGGGAACCAGGAGGCTGGTGGAAAGCTTCCCTGGGCCCCGTTCTCACGCCTTCTCACCTTGCTTTGAGTTTATGGGTGTTTCTTTCAATACCCTCCCTTTTTTCCGGGTCTGTGACCCTCTTCCTAAAGGGGGACATCTGCTTGCCATGGGGTGAAGAGCCCTATGAGTTTTTCTCACTCCTCCATCAGGATCAGACCCCTTGGCTTCTCTCTTGGTTGGGGCCTGAGAGCAGTGCCTGGAGCAGCCGTGCAGGGCTGACAGCATGAGTCCACACATCCAGAGAGACCTTGAGGGCGGCATTGATGGTCCGGCCTTTGTGAGCTGGGGGCAGAGTGTGTATGTTCCGGGTTTTGTCTTTGGAGGATTCTAGACGTGAAGGACAAGATATCAGCCACGGAGGCAGGAAGAGCCCAGCTTGGTGTAAATGGACATCTTGGTCATTGCTGGGATGAGGTCAGCTCTGGGAGTGGAAGGAGGAGGAGAAGGAGAATGGAGAGACTCAGTTTAGTAATCTCCCCGTCACAAGCCAGCATCTTCCACAGACTTACTTTCTCAGCCCAGGACTGTCCTCAAAGCATCCAGCCAAGGGTGAAAGAAGCTTCTAGAAGGGAAGAGGGTGTGCCCCTCAGAGACCCTCCTGGGGACTTGCAGAGACCTCCCACCTGGAACTCATCAGTGGTCCTGGATAGAGGGTGGAAGAGGCTGCCGGCAGTGTCCCTCCCTTGTCCCTAATCTGCCCCTTCTTGGAATGTCTATGCTATTTTCTGACCCTGTTGGTCACTGCGGTTCATCAAATAAATCTGTTTTGTGTAACTATTGTGTTCAAAGACCCTTCTTACACAAGTGTCTTAGGATGCCAAAAAGACCCCCAATTTACAGATGTTACAGTGGGAGGTGGTGTGAACCCAGCTGAGAGAGAATAAGAAGGGAAGTGGAAGCTAAAAGGACTAAAGTGAGAAACTGGAAAGGACATGGGGAAGCTGCAAGAAGATGGAGGAAATAGACCCCCGGGGAACAAAGCTTTCAGGATGAGATCAGGGGGAAGGCAAAGGAAATAAAGGGATGAGGAGCAGCTAAGTTTTTGTGTTTGGAAAAGCCTAGAACAAATGGGCACACATTTTGGAGACTGGAGCACAGATCTGAGGGAAAATATTAGCATTTCTTCCTGTGAAGGTAGACCTATTATTTATTCACTAGAGGCCCACCCCCGATCAGGGCTGTGTTGGGGGAAGGAATGCAGGCGGTTGGTGGGTCAACCTCACCCCCTGGTGGAACTTCTGGTCGAACTCCCAGTAGAGGGGCAATTTACATATTAGCCTTTTATTATATAGGATTAATTTATCCCTTTATTCATTTATCATCCCCTATTGACTCATTCATTCATCATCACATGAGCATCCATTCAGTTACACCAGAAGCTCCAATGCTTGTTCTCCAATCAGAGTCACTCTGGATGGTTTTGTAAACACTCATGCTTTTTGTCACCCAGACCAAATCCAAATCTCCTAGACTTACCCCACAGTTTATAATTACTAAAAATTCCTCAAATGATTTTGGGGGAGGACATGTTTGGATATGTTTCCATCTACATAGATTCTGTCCAAATTAACATGGGCACAAGAAGACTAGAGAGTCAGAGGCAGAGGCAACCGGGCTCTGGACGGTTATGGAATTGGGGGAGGACAGGGCTGGAATGAAGATGTGTTCACTATCTTCCACAAAGATCTCTGCTACTAAGAATGTTTGCAGATAACACAGACGCAGTCACTGTGGTAGAACGGGTAGGAACATGAGAGGTCACATTTACTGCATTTATCACAGCACTCCCATTTTCCAAGCATTATCTCACTTAATCCTTACAATCCTCTGCCAGGGACATTTTAACCTCATTTTGTTGATAAGGATGCTGAGGATCAGAGAGCTTAGTTAGGTCCTTTGACCAAGATTACACAGCCAGTTCATCGAAGAGCCAGGCCTAGAGCCAGCCAAGTCTAACACCAAAGCTCATGCTCTTGACCACTGTTCCTTCCAAAGTACAAATGAGGCTGTTCCAGGTGGGTAGGATGGAAAGTGAGGTGTCATCTGTAAGGTGCCTGCCACAGGTGGATCATACGTGGAGAGTGCTCCAGGAGTGGGTGGATGGGGCAGGATGGAGATGGAACAGGGAGGGTGGACGATGCACAAGAGAGAGGGAGAAAGAGAGAGGAGGGGGAAGGGAAGGGAAAAGAAACAGATGGAGACAGAGACAGCAGAAAGGAGAGACAGAGACAAAGAGAGAAATAGAGACAAGTGTGGGGAGGTAGGTGGAAAGCAGAAATTGGGAGGCAGGGAGGAGCTGGAAGACAGGGTATTAGTGCATGTTTTCAGTCTTCTGAAACACACCAGGGAAAACCCTGTGGGAATTTACAACAGTAACAACAACCTATTCACACAGTTTTGTTACAGATGCTGAAAAAGCCTCACCAACTCTCTAGGGAAATTTGAGGTAAGCTACCCCCCTAAATTGTAAGATTATAGAGCACTTAATAATTCACTTGTTCACACATTTCTTCACTCACTCACTCACTCACTCACTCACTCACTCATCTGTTTCTTCAACAAGTTCTTATTTATTACTTAGGTGCCAAGGAACATGCTGGGCACAGGATCAAATGGTGAACAGGACCCTGTGGCTGCCAGTCTGGTGGTGGAAACAGACAGTTGAATGGGTGATTATACTGGAGTGTGGTTTGAAGAAAGGGAATGTAGAAGTGTGTGGATTGCCTTATCTAAATGATGGTATGAGTCTGGGCGGGTGTCAGGGAAGACTTTAGATACACGATGGATGCCAGGAGGCTGCTCTTGCAGGGTGAGGGTGAGCGATGCATGGAGAAACCACTCCTTGCAGAGGAAATACCCACATATAAGAGAGCATGCAGCCCCTCTGAAGAGCTGGAAAGAGGGTTCATCTGGTTCTCACCCCAACCCTACCTCAGCTCCGGGAGGTGAGTCAGGCAGAGGCATGGGAAAAAGCTTGCCCAGGTCTCAGGGTGTGGATGACAAGCAGATTGGGGCTGGGACTAAAATCTGGGTCTCTAAACAATGTAGGGGAGCCAGAAATTTTTTTTATGGCTTCTAGTTTTTCTTCCCCCTGGGCTTGAGCTATCTTTCTCTAAGATATCTGTCAGGGTGTCCTAAAGAGGCCCTCTCATGCTGGGCCTGTTGGAAAAAGATTCTAAGAAGGGGTAGATGGATCCCGTGGGAAGACCACCCTGAAACTAGAATGACACTCAGCATAATAGGATCTTGCTATGATTATCCTGCCATCTCAGCGGGTACCACTCTGTCTGAACTCCAGGGTGTTTGAAGCTAGCAAGGCCTGATTCATCGGGTGCAGCTCTTTTCACTTATTGCCCAAAATGTTTGTAAAGTTGCTATGAGCGATGTCAGAGTCACAAAGACATGACTCAGAACTTAAAATTAAGCGCACAAGAAAGGAGATTTGGAGATGTCGGGCTGATACTAGAAGTTTCAATTTGTAGTTTGAATGTTAGAGCATCAAGCAATATTCATTGATTTATTCATTTAACAGACTTATGATGCGTCTGGGACTCTTAGAAGCTGAGGATACAGAGGTGGACCAGACATGATCTCTGTCTTCATGGAGCAACTTGAAGAACCTTCTAGCCTTACCTTCCCATTCAATAAATGGATAAATTAAGGCCCGCGGAGGAGGACCGATCTATATAGGTCTTATGGTGGAAAGATGGAAGAGGTGGGACTAGAACTTAGGCTTCTCACTGCCCGGCAAGAGCATGTTCCATGTTTCCAGGCTTAGAAAAGAGAAAGGGTCTTTTATTGAGGCTATGAAGAACAAGTGGAGAGGGTCAAAGCAATGATGGATCACTAACTGGGGAGTGGGTGGGCACAAAGGTGCTGGGAGATGGTTAGCTATAGTTTCATTAATACACCTTTTATTTTAGAAGAGTTGTAATTTTAAGAAGCATGAGTACAGAGAGTTCCATATATTCCACCTCCAGTTTCTGTTATTAACATCGAACATTAGTAGGACATACTTGTCACAATTAATGAACCAATATTGACATACAGGATGTCCCCCCAAAATGTATACACCACTAAAAGCTGATAGTCCAATGGACATTTCTTTTCAGATTTAACCCATTGGAATGAATAATTATTCAAAGCGTGTATACATTTTTGGGGACACCCTTTATTACTACTAACTGCCCATACATTATTCAGCCTGCCTTCCTTTTTACCTATGTCCTTTTTCTGTTTTAGGATCCTATCCAGGAGACCTCATTGCATTTAGTCATTTTGTCTCCTTAGGCTCCTCCACACTAGGACCGTTTCTCAGACTTTGTTTTTGTTGGCCCTGACAATTTTGAGAAGCACATGTCCGGTATTTTGTTCTGTGTACTTTTTAAAACAAATTTGTTTTTATTTCCATGTACCAGGCATATGCTAGATGATAAGGAGAGAGCAATAAATAACAGACAAGTGATTCCTGCTCTCTGGCAGTTTAACAATGAGTAGTAAAGTGTAGTAGCATCATTGCAGGAAGCACAGCGTGCCGTGGAGGCACCCACCCGTCTTCTGCTGTGCACCGATGAGTGATCACAGATGGGTCAATGCACTGGCTGAAAACATAGGTCACCTGCAGCTCTACCTGGGTTCAAATGTGGCATTCTCTCCCACCTCCAAAGCATCCTAGGGCTCATTTCTGGCCTGAATGACTGGAAACCTGGGGACATCAGACAAAAGCATATTGTATTCAGTGGGCATCTTACCCTATATTGTTCTGTACTTTATTATTTAGTCGTGTGACACATTTCTTGCCTACTCAAGGATGCCTCCTATATAGACAGAGGATAATGGGAAGTGGATTCCCCAAATCTGCTTGAACTACCCTACACAGTCAGCACCCTTCTTGTCTTCTACTTCAGTGGGGACATATTTCTAGAAGAGCCCTTTTTGGCTGCAATGTAATGGCTCTGTGAGCTCATCTGTCTCCTCTGCTCTATAGGCAGCTCCTCTAGAGTAGGAGCTGTGTTTACGCATCTCTGTTCTCCTGGTGCCTGGAATGGGCAGGTTGCTCAAAGGGTGTTTGCTTAAATGATTGAACAGCTGGATAAAGAAAGTTCAGGAGGAAAGGTGAGAAACATTGATTTTTGCTTAAAGTGAACAAATTGATTGCTTTTAAAAAAGTCTAGAAAGACAAGGTAAAGATTGGTGATGCACTGAGGTTGGTGAGAACTAAGATTACTAACCACTGAGCCAACTACATCCTATAGCCTTTTCCTCTTTGAGCCGCTGCTTGGGAACCACAGTGCTAGAACACAGGAATTAGTTAAGCCATGTTCTGCAGGGCACTTCTGATATTCTTGTAAGTTGAATTTCTTGAAGTATAGCTTTGCAATGACCAGTTCAGTGTTTATGCTGAACACTCTGTCTTCAGGTATCTCTGGCTGGATGGTGGTGTGCGAGGCTGGTTGGCTTCCTGTGGAAGTTATCAGTGAGCCAACTGGAGCTGGCACTGAGTCAGTTTCTGGGAAACTATGTTCATGGAGGAAGGACTCTCATGATGGTGGGATGTACCAATTGAGTAAAAAATAAAATCTTGGACTTCCTCCTTCTATAAAAATACCCAGGGAAAACTTCTCTTCCGGACCTTAAGAAAATCTGGTCCAGGTTTAAGGGCATCCAAGAAGAGTTGGCAGTCTTTCTTCAGGGTCTGGAATATGTCCATAAGTTCAAGAGGTTTTCCTGTATGATGGGAATGAAGTGGCCTCTGGTGATAAGAGAGAGACCCAAAGCTTCATTCTAGGGGGGCTGGTTTGGTCTCTTTGGCAGAGAACAGATTTTGGCAGCAGGTATAATAATGACCCAGAGTTTGGGGACTGTCATCCCAAGGTGCCAGGATTGAAGAGCATGGAGGTGATCCTTACCATTAGGAGAAAGGATGCACCAATATAGTGGTTAGTTGGTTTCTAGGATGAGACCCAGAAGCCCTTGAGCATCCCTGGGATTCAGCTGGCTGCCAGTTCTGTATTGGGGTTTTTATTAGGCTATCAGGGCCCCTGGAAGGTGATTGTTATTTGCTGTGCTAATAATTAGCTATTTTATGTTTGGGAAAAGCAGAACAGCAATTACCAAAGGAGTTGACTAAAGACAGATGTTGAGGCTGGAGGAGGAAGTGATTCCATTCTGACTGTGGAAATCCAAGCAGCTCAACATGCTGGCATGAAAAACACAGCATAATTGAGTTGGCAAGGAATGCTCTTACCCTCCTACTTCACTAATGAAGGAAGTAAACCCTTGGGAGGGTAAGTGACTTTTTAAACGTCATTGATAGGTAGTAGCTAAGTTGGTTGGCGGGGCTCTCTTAATTCCCAGGCCTGCTTGCTTTTCATGTCACAAAGTTATCACTTTTCTATACTATAGATGGTTTTGGAAGGGATACTTATTAGAGTAGACAGACAATAAAAGGTAGTATTGATATGTCCAACTTGTGTTAGTGATGATTTAGCTTGTTTTATTCAAAACTATGATGTTAGTTTCCTGTTGTCCATTCTGTTAAGGGCACAGACAGGTCTAGCCTGAATCCCAACTCTTCTTTGTTTGTGTCATCAAGACGAGTATTTCTTAAATGTTAGTGTGCAGAAGAATCATTGGGGATGCTGTTAAAATACAGATTCTGATTCAGTAGGTCTGGGGTGTGTCCAGAGGATGTTGTTTCTTTAAAAGACTTCTGGCAATGGTGGATGCTGTTGGTCCAAGGAACACACTCAGGGGAGCAAAGATCTGGGACATAATATACATCAATGGACTGCTTTCTCATCTATAAAATGGGATAATAAAAGTGGTTACCCATAGTACTGGTTTGAAGGTTCCATGAGTAATGTTTGCAAGGATCTTGCACAGTTTCTGGCACATAAGAAGTAATCAATAGTGTTCCAGTCCATTTAGGCTGCTAGAACTAAATATCATAAACTTGATGGCTTCTTAACAACAAACATACACTCCTCACAGTGCTGGAGGCTGGGAAGTTCAAAGTCATGGCCCTGGCAGGTTCAGTGTCTGGTGAGATCCCACTTGCTCATTGGAAGCTGTCTTCTGTGTCCTCACATGGAGGAGTTAAGAAGCAGGTAAGTTGCTAGACTTTAGTGGTGGGAAAATGAGGGAACCCTGGTATTGTGATGTTTAATTTTCAAGTGACTTGTAAGATGAGTTCATCAGGTGTGCAGAAGGTAGTGAAAGGTGTATATAAAGTTTTGAAGGCTTAAAGTATCATCTTGAGCAATGAAAAAGCAAAATTCCTAGGGAAGTATATAGTGCTGATTCTCTCCTTTGAGATTTGTGTCCATGAATTTAAAGGGGAATCATTTAGTCAGGTTGTGCGATTTTCTCTGGCAGCATTTAGCTGCTGTGGCTACAAGCACAGAGAAGATGCTCATTAAGTGTTGGAGTTTGCAAGGTGATTGTGACAGAAGAGAGAGGCATGAGGTATCAGGGTTGTCTGCAAGAGAGTAGATATAAAGAAGTGCAATGGAATCAACTTCTCTAAGGAAGGAAGCAAAGACAGGAGGTAGACATATGGGCATGTGGTAGACATAGGTTAGTGGTCATTAAAAGGGACAAGAAATGTGGGAGTGGGGGCCCCACTACAGCAAGTGAGCTGGAGGAGTGGGGGATGGAGGTCAAAGAACAAGATTTTAAAATAGAGATTTCTGGTAATGACAGGGTCTATGGTATAACTGTTGAGTGGATAGCTGAAGTGGAGTGAAGAACAAGATTGTTGGGGTCAAAGACATCAAGAAATGGAGAGTCCAAGCTGTTGGGTGAGTTCTCTCTCTATATATTGACGTTCTGAGAATTATTGTAGGAAGGAGGCAGTGAATATGATTGTACCCAGGAGCTAAAGTGTGCAGTAAAGAAGGAGTAATGACTAAGAGAAGAGTAGAAGGAGCCCAATGAGGAGGAGGGCATGGGTATGAAGTAACTATAAATAGGGCCATGGTTAGCCCATATGCTTTTGTGCAAATTAGAAAAAAAATGCCTCTTCTCCAGTGGGAAGCATAGGGTGGGGAGTGTGGGCTGGATTTTATTCACCCCTCAGGTGGGCATTTTTGGGCAGGACACACCCTACGTGGGCAACCTGTAGAGCCATACCCGGTAGTCCTAGTTGAATAGCACAGGCATAAAAAAAGTCAGCTTTTTGCAAGGGAAATATCCTGAAAGAGGTCACGGGGAGCAAAGATCAACACTCTGATTTTACAGGCAGGGAAACTGAGGCTAGAGAAGGGAAATAAACACATAGGAGCTCAGCAGCAGAACTGAAACAAAACTGTTCTGACACTTGGTGTTTTCTGCCACAACCCGTCCTGGAAGTGACGTTTTAGCGAATGCTTCAGAATTGCAAATTAAAAAAAAACACCCCACATGTTTTCCCTCAAAGTCGCTTTTGTGGGAGGTGACAGACGTCTTTCTAGTGATGCTGCCATTGTTCCAACCATTTCTGGAAACTCCTTCAGCGATATGATCTTCTGAGTCACAAAGACAGCCCACCGCACTGGAGAGCCTTACTGAATACCTGTCCTTGTCCTTCTTCTGGCCTTGGGTTGAGAGCCCGAGATGCAGCCTAGAAAAGCGGCCTCTCTACATCTCATTTAAACATGTAGGTAGTTGGCACTCAGCATGTTCTAGGCCCATGAGATCCCCATCAAGCTTTGGGGGTCAGCTATCACTGTGAAGTATGTTTGGTTTGAATAGGTTTTGTTTTGCAAGGCTGGTGTGCATGAGGTTTGCATGTGTCTGGTATCTTAAATGCAAGCAACAGAACCTTCCCCACCTGTTTATGCAGAAAAAAAGTTTAGTGAAGCATATTAGGTAGCTCACAGCATCTCTGGAGAATTATGGTTCAGGAAGGAGCCATCCTTGAATTATCTAGTTCTTGTGGGGACCACATTGCTTGCACCGTGAAGTTCTGCTGGGACTGGACACAGCTCTTCCACCCCTGCTGTCCTCGGTGATTTTTGCCTTTCCTCCACCTCAGCCACAAAAAAGATTCCACACAGCTCCTGGGTCCTCAGCTTGTTCTCTTTCGACGTAGATTCTCCCACTTGCATGCTTGGGGAAGTCCAGGCCATATGCTGGCACTAGCTGTGAAGGAGACGAGGGAAAGTGGATTCCAGCTTCGAACATCGGAGGCGGGGCTCAGATTGTGGGAAGATCCCCAGACATAGGGAGTCTGTGCTAAAAATGGTGAATTCTACAGATATGGCAATGGTTCCCCCCTAAGCTGTAGACTTCTTTGGGCCCTTATGCCTAGAATTTGGGAAAGATGCCCTTAAGGTATACATTGTCCTTTTAGGTCCAATGGCCCATCTTCACACAGTGTGATCACCAGCTCAGAGACTGCAGGGAGCTAGACTTTTTGTGCTAATAATTTAGATTTACCTTTAAAATGAATGTAATTAAAAGAGAAATAGGAAGTGGTTTCTCCAAGGCCCTGCAAATGAGTGGTGGTCAAGGTCAAATCCTGTGTCCAGCAAACCTGTGTCCATGGAGAATGCTGAGACATTCTACCTGGCAATGCTACTCCTCAGTGATCAGAATCCCTTCTGTCCAGTCTCTAAGGAACAGAAAGGTGATGCAGCAGCACCAGGATGTGTAGGGAAGGATTCATGACAAGTGTTTATTGAAGTTTTACTAGGTGTTAGGCACAGGGGCCTGAGCCTAGGCCATGTGGGCCAGAGGTTTCTGAGAAGAGTAAGATATGGACTCTGTGTACAGAGCATGCAGTTTAGTGTTGGTGACAGACAATCTGTGATTAACTGGGTGTCAGTGGGGTACAGGGAGTAGAGGAAAATGATCTTGGGGGTCTTTCAATCCTGGGACCATGTCTGAGGCCTTGTGAACTAGATTTCCCTTCTGCAAAGTGGGGCTAATAAGACTTAGCTCATGTGGTTGTTTGAAGGAGTAAGCAGTATATAGTATACAGAGCAGCCAGGGGCTGACACAGCAAGCTTAGTTCCCCCGAGGCCCCCACATCTGTCCTTTCCTCCCTTCAATATAAAGTGTGATGGGACTGCCGAGAAGGTGGTGGTTGATTCTGCTGGATGGGTTCTGGCTGGGCTCCTGGTGATGAAAGGGTTCTTCAGGCAGTGGAAGAGCAGGATCAAAGCGATGGATACTGTGTTTGGGAGCTGGTGGGCTGAACAGCTGGTTGGAGGTGTGTGAGTGGGTAGGGGACTGGCTGGATGGGGACTTTAGGCCTCTGTGAGTCACACTGGGGGTCTCTAAGCATGGGTGGTCAAGAAAGGGATTTAAGGCAGAGGACTGCTCCCAAAAGGCCAGAGCAGCTGCTCTTTGGCTGGTGAAGATATCTCTTTCATTTAGGAATTGCCCTGGGTTTGGAGCTCTCCATCTCTCTGCTTGGTGAGATAAGAATGAAAGGGCTGGACTATTTTTTGGCCTCCATTCAACCCGGGGATATGTATGGTTGATGCCTTGGAGAGCTTCTTCTTCTTTTTAAATTTTAAAATCAGCTTTATTTTTTTTTATTTTTTTTTTTAAATATATTTTATTGAGTTTTTACAGTGAGGAAAGGAGAGAGATAGTTAGAAACATCGACCAGCTGCCTCCTACACACTCCCCACTGGGGATGTGCCCGCAACCAAGGTACATGCCCTTGACCGGAATCGAACCTGGGACCTTTCAGTCTGCAGGCCAATGCTCTATCCACTGAGCCAAACCGGTTTCGGCAAATCAGCTTTATTGAGGTATAATTTATATACAATAAAATGTACCAGTTGAAGCATATAATTTAATCATTTTTAACAAATGTATACACCTGTTTAACACCCACTATAATCAACACATGGAACATTTTCATCACACGAAAATGTTCTTTTTGGCTGTCTTCTTGCTATGTCAAATAAGAAGCATAATAACACCACTTGTTAAATATCTATCACTCTCAAGCAATGTTAGATATTTTACATAAATCCAAATCGCTTTAATAGCTCTGTAAAAGCAGATACTATCATCTCTATTTTACAGAAGGGAAAACTAAAGGTTGGAAGTGTGAGGCAAATTGTTCAAGGTCATGTAGTCAGTAAATGGCCATGCCAGGATTCCAAGCCAGGATTGCCACCTGGTAAAATCAGTGCTGATGTCACCAGGCCACACTCCTGAGTCCCACTGGGTTATTCCTAACTGACATGAAAACTCCGTATCTACATTACACACCTTTCTACTGCTCTATATATCTATATCCACACTCATCTATTTATCATCTCTCTATCTTCTTAAATATCTCATGGAATGGCAGAAATTTACCCAGTATCTCAAAATCTCCTACCTTCCCCAAATCTCTGGGAATTCAGGTGTATTTCCCTTTCTGGATGGAGAAGCTGCTGTCATCGAAGGTGTCCTAGAGTGAAGGTGGCCTGCCTGCCACCTCAATCATGGACAGACCCAGACCTGATAGCATAGATTAAGACATACACTCCTGGGGGTCGAAATGTATTCAGCCACATTAGATGGTCCTTGTGCATAACTGCCCTCAGTCTCATCTTTGAAAAAACAGAATTTGATTAGATTGTAAGCCTGGTTGGCCATAGCAAGGAAGTCTTGGGTGGGACATGGAGGTAGAAGAAGGGAAGAAAGAACAAAGAAAGGGTTTATCACAAGCTAAGTGACTTTGTAATTTATTCGGATCCAGGCCAGGTCTGCCCCTGAGAGCAGTAGCAAATGGGCTTGGGTGGGCCCCTTTGATGCTGACTGTGTCCGTAAAAGGTTGGATGAAATCTCCTTCAAGACATAAATATGTTCTCGGCTCCAAACACAACCTTTCCTTAAAGGGAAAAATGCTCTCGGGTGGGGAGGTGACTTTATTTGGGTTTCCCTGGGGTGGGCAGCAGCTCACTGAAGACTCCTGGCAGGAAGCAGTCCAGGTGGCTCCTGGCCAAGCCGGTGGAGACCTCTGACCTTCTCTCTGGTCTTCAGGAACTTCTGCTTCCCTGGCAGGAGGAAGGGGGCAGGGAGGAGGGGAAGGCACAGGGAGGAGCGATGGGAAAAAAAGGAGCTTTCTGGAAAAAAAAATGTTGGCTGTCCTAGAACCAAGGTGAGTAGGAGGGCTCGCTGAACTGTGAGCCTTAAGGAGCCCCTTGGTGTTTTTTGTTGTTTGTTTCTTTTGTTCATGGCTCTCAGATCTTGAGTATATCATGAAGCCATTGAGTAACAGAGGTTCACTGGGTGCCATTGAGTGACAGAGGATCACTGGGTCTTATCTCTCCATTTTGCTCTATGTAGCAAAGGCCCAGAGAGGGGAAGTGAGTTCCCAGGGTCACTCAGACACTTTGCACCACCCCTTACAGCTCTACTGTGTCATTTTTGGGACTGAATTAATCCAGAATGGGATGGATTGATAAAAATAACAATAACAGCCACAGCAGCCTCAGCTAAAGTTAATCAAGCACATCCTATACTAGACATTTTCTGAGCTTGAGTGTTTCATGGGCTTTACTTCAGTCAGTCCTGGTATGTGATCAGCCCCATTTTCCAGATAAGAAAACTGAGGCTCAGAAAGATGAAAAAAAAATGGCCAAACATGAAATGGTAGCCAGCAGGGGAGAGTTGGGATTGAAACCTGGGTGGATGGGACCCAGGGCAGAGGATATCTTTGTTTTACTCATCCTCAGTCTTCCACAAGGCTTGGTATTGCTCAATTATTTGTATGTAAGCCACAGTAGTTTTTATTTCAATTTACATTTCTGCTTGGGTCTTGGTGCTGAGACTGTCCTTTAGGCACTCAAAATTGAAGAGTTAAAAATTA